TCCTCATTTCTGTCCCTTTCTCTGTCCCGCAGGATAACGTGATGCGATAGCCATGCGGGTCGTCGCCATGAGGACTCCCGTCCCGGCCGCGCTCTCCCTCGCCGCCGTCCTGGCCGTGACACTGGCCGTGGCCTCCGCGCACGCAGGTAAGCAGAAGTAGCAGCAACGTGGTGCGTGTGTGTGGTGTGTGGTGTGTTTTCAACACTGTAAAAAAATAGTCGTTTAATGGTTTACTGGAAAAAATTCTTGATCTGTGTTGTAAAATTACCAGTAAAAATTATAAACTTTCAAGCTGATTCTGTCGACTTGGAATTAATCGACAAGCAAGAATGGGCTGTCGCAAAGATGACAATACATACTTTTTATTGATAACAAAAATTACAACAAATCTTGTAAATTTACGATGATATTTTTCACATTGGCATGGGGCTGTGGATGTGGAAGCGCTGCTGCGCTCTCCGCCTCGTCCCGCTCTGCTCAAGCCCCCGTCGGGTAGGCAGGCCCTGCGCACGCGTGCGTCGGGCGGGTCTGCATAGCTCCACGGCTGTCCCCACGGCCCGCCGCCCACACGGCAGAGCACCGGGCTCGCCTCGTCCCTCGCGCTCTTTCTTCACGGAGAAACGTGTCTCTCTTCTCTTTTCTTCGCTTGCTTTTCGTCGCCCCCTGAGGCCTGTGTACTACAGCGATGTATCACCCACCGATATCCATATATATATATATGTACCGCCGGCAGGAGCGCAGCACCCTTTGTACAACAGGGTGCTCGAGCGGCCCCGTGCCTTTGTTCTTCCTCGTCCCAGAGGCGGCGCAGGAAGGCGCCGGAGAGAGAGAGAGAGAGAGAGAGAGAGAGAGAGAGAGAGAGAGAGAGAGAGAGAGAGAGAGGCGGGCCGCCGAAATGGGCCGGGCGACACCATGTCAGCGCTTGGCGCCCCCCGGCCCAACCCGGGGTACCGTCGTCCGGGTGACGAAGGGAGAAGACGGAATGGGAAACGGAGAGGGAAAGGACTGTCGTCGTGTCACCCTCCGCCCCGTGATGAGTCGTACACCTGTCGGACGTGGCGGGGCGGGGCGGAGCGTGGCGGGGCGGGGCGGAGCGTAGCGGCTCTCACGCTTTATCGGGATGAGTCGCCGTCCCGGCGCGACTTGCGCGAGTCACACGCGGGAGAGGAGTGGGGTGGAGAAGGAGGGAGAGAGGGACAGGGACTTCAAAGAAAAGAAAGGAGGGGAGAAAGAGAGAGGTATGAGGTGGGGCGGCGGTGCGGGGAACGTTCTCGCGCGCCGACGCGGCCCGGAGTGGCTCAAGTGGAGGAAGGGCTGAGGAGGAGGAGGAGCAGGAGCAGGAGCAGGAGGGCGGGCAGTAGGGGGACTCGCTGAATGCGAGGGAGAGAGATGAAAACATCATGAGCCACAGGGACGGCGGTTGTGGCAGGGCCGGGGGTGTCGTGTCGTCCCGGCGACCGACGGTGGCCGATGTAGGAGAGGAGGAGGGGCAGAGGGGCAGGGGCCGGGGGCGCGCCTTTGGAATTAAAACTGCAAGGCGTGCAAGAGGCACAGACATGCAAATCAACGCAATTACCGCATGAGCTCGGGGAGGAGGAAGAGGAGGAAGAGTGGCCGCACCGCTCTGCTTTTTAAAAAGGAACGCGCGCGACGCACCCGAAAAACGAAACGGCAGCGGCGGCGGTGGCCCTTATGGGCGGCCCTCGGCGGGCCCCTCCTCTCCACTTGTGGGAGACACGTCCAAAACGCGGCGACACGCCCCCCATTAAAGCAAGCTCGCCAGCAGCAGGTCTCTCTCTCTCTCTCTCTCTCTCTCTCTCTCTCTCTCTCTCTCTCTCTCTCTCTCTCTCTCTCTCTCTGTCTCTCCATAACAGCACCGTGTGCACGACAGCCAACAGCAGATACCAACTGTTCAAAAAAAAGAAAAAAAAGAACTAAATTGCTAAATTTAATGTCACATGCGCCCTTACAAAATTTTGTGGTTTTCCGATCCTAGGTTCATATTCATAACTTGCATGAAAACTTTAAAAATGCATGTCAGTGAGATATTCTTTTCAAAGTTTGCTCGGGCGCATCTGGGAGTAATATTAACCATTTAGTTCTTAATTATATTTTGTGTGCTAGTATGATTTCCCTTGGATCAGAAAACGCTCTGGAAGTTAACTTGATGTCAAACATAAAATTACAGTGGTGTGTTTCCGAAACACTTTTGTGTCGTTTCGTTGTTCTGTGTTTAGCCGTGTGGATTGCCCTGTGACGGCGCCACCTGTAAGTGTTTTGTAGCAGTTTGTGCGATCGCCCGTCACGCCACGGCGAGCCGCAGCGCCGCCGTCGCAGTGTCGCCCACAATGCCGTCCGCATTCCCCAACTCCGCCGTCCCGTGTCCCGGCCAGCCCAGCCCGGCGTGGCGTGGCGTGGCGTGGCTTGGCTTGGCTTGGCTTGGCGAGGCGGGATCCCGGCCGGATCCCTCCCCAGGGGTCCCTCAGCAAATGTCTCTTGTTGCTCGGCCGCGGCGGCTGCTGGGCGATGAGATGGCGGTGCTGGACCGTGATGGATAGCCGTACAGGAGCGCTATCTCCTTCTCTCTCTCTCTCTCTCTCGCACCTGTATCTCACTCTCATCCCCTGTCTCTCTTTCTCCACTCGGTCTTGTCTCCCTCTTGTCTCTCTCTCCATCTCCCTCTCTCCCCCCGTCCTTCCCCACGAACCCCCCTCCTTCCCTGCACGGCCTATGCTGCTGCTAGGCCGACCAACACCTGTAAAGTGTTTCGTTTTGCGAGAGGTAAAAAGTCGCCCGAAGCCTTTTGGGAGCGAGGCGTGCGGGTGCCCCCCCGCCCTTCTCCTCCCTTCCTTTTCCCCGTGGGATCCTCTCGAGGTGTGTGTGCGTGTGGTGTGTGGTGGGGGTTCAGGTGGCAGCGCAGGCCCTAAGGCTGGCCAACCCCGCGCCCGTGTAATCCCCCGAGACGGAAGGCGTGGGGCAAAAGGCGTCCGTAGGAAAAGTTTTATTTTTCCTTTTTTTTTATTCCGTCCTCCTGTACAGTATTTTTACCGCACCTGCTCGCCAAACAAACGCATCACACACAACTTGGAAGGCATGAATGATTCATTCATTCCAGGAATCCTCTCTC